AAAGTGAATTTGCTCTGTAAATCTTCACCCAAATCACAATAAAAAATAAAAGAGGTAATGATGAATCAGTGAATGAAAATTAATATTTTTATATTGCATTTTCCATATCCTCTTCTCTTCCAGGTGCCACCACAATAGGTATCTTCAAAATGATCGTGGCAAATATAACCACAATGAGCGGGTTTCTCCTCTTGGGCTTTTCGGACATTCGTGAGCTACAGGTTTTACATGCTTTTCTGTTCTTGGTGATGTACCTATTAACCTTGACAGGTAACTTCATTATTATCATCACCACATTGGACCAGCATCTCCAGTCCCCAATGTATTACTTCTTAAAGCACCTTTCCCTTCTGGACCTCTCCTTCATTTCTGTCACTGTCCCTCAGTCTATTGAAAATTCTCTGATGGATGATGGCTATATTTCTCAAGGCCAGTGCATGTTCCAGGTTTTTTTTCTTCACATCTTTGACTTGGGCTGAGGTGGCCATTCTCACAGTGATGTCTGATGATCGCTATGCAGCCATCTGCTTCCCACTGCACTATGAGGTCATCATGCATCCTAGTAAGTGCAAATGGGCTGTGACAGCTGTATGGCTAAGTGGAAGCATCTCTGGAATCTTGTTCACAGCAGCCACATTCTCTATCACATTCTGTAGGCACAAAATAATCCATCAGTTCTTCTGTGATGTCCCTCAGTTGGTAAAGCTGTCCTGCTCCAATGATTACCTTGGGGTGGTTGGAGTGGCTGCTTTCCTATCTGCGATGGTATTGACCTGCTTCACCTCCATTGTCCTCTCCTACATCCACATCTTCTCCACAGTTCTGAGAATACCCTCTGCTGAAGGCCAATCCAAGGCCTTCTCTACCTGTCTGCCCCACCTCTTTGTTGTCTCATTTTTTCTTTCCGCATGTATCTTTGAGTTTCTAAAACCAACTTCAGATTCTCCAAGTGCTTTTGACCTTATGGTTTCTATCTTTTATTTGGTAATACCCCCAATTCTCAACCCTGTTATCTACAGCCTCAGGAATGAAGTCATGAAAGGAGCTTTCAGAAAGTTGCTACTGGGTGGAGAATTCACCAGGAAAAAAACATTTTTGTCCTGTCATTGATGGCTGGACAACATTATATACAAGGAATGTGCTACTTAAGGTTATATGTCCACTTTGCTGGGCCTGGTTTTGAGTGTCTGGGCAGCTGGTGGTAATTATTCCCCATGATGAGACTGGCAATCAACTCCATGGTGGAATCTGCTGCCACAGCTAAATAGCTACTTTAGGGATGTGGTCTGCTTCTTGTATATAAATAAGGAGAAGATTTGAGAATGGTCTACAACTTATGGCATGCTTGAACGCTACATGTATCCCAGTCATCGTTCAGCAGGCTATCATGCTAGTCTGCTGATCTTCGGACTTTTTCTGGACTTGAATCAGTGGCCTGTCATGTGGTTTGGTAATATTGGGACTGTGCACTTTCACTTGTCAACCTTGGGTTTATCAGCCTCTGCAGCCAGCAGCTCTCTGAGTGAAGAAAATCCTCCAGCTTCAGTGGGCCAAGAGCAGGAGGCAGAGCTGAAATGAAGGTTGAGGGGCTTTCACCCAGCCCCTGGAACCTAGCACTTTGAACTGGGACTTCTTGCCTCCAAAAACTGTAAGAATAAACTCCTGTGTGTGAAAGCCATCCCATTTATGGTAACCAAAACAAGGAACATGTTAAATAATAATGAAATCCTTCAATATATGGTGTTAAGGAAGAAATAACATTTTTTCCCCTGTGAATTTATCATGCAATACAATCATCATTATTAAGGAAACACTTCATGTAATTTCTATACCTTTTTAGCAGTTAAAACCATTCATTGGCTCATTCTTCCAAATTAAGAGAAAATAAAAACATTTTAATATAGGCTCACTACTCTCCCTTCCCACAGCATATAGACACAGACACAAACATATTCACAAATACACCAGTAATTATAAGCACACTTTTTATTGTTTTCCTCTGAATAGGCAATATTACAAGAAATAAAAGACTGATAATTTGCCCATAATCCCATCAACTAAATAAATCAACCATTTTTACATCATTTATTTAATTCTTGCCTTTATACATGCCAATTTTGCATGTTGGTACAAACAGCCCTGGAGATGCAACAGCTGACAGCTTAGATGCTAACCACAGGGTTGGCAGTTTAAACACACCCAGCATCTTCTCAGGGAAAATGTGGCAATCTGATTCTGTAAAGATTCCAGCCTAAAAAACCCTATGAGGCAGTTCTTCTCTGTTACATAGGTTCCTGTAGATTGAGAATTGACTCAACTGCTGTTGACTAGTCAACAACAATTTTGGCTGCAGTTTTACTTTTTTATAATGTCCACGAATGCATGGCATTCAATGAAATTCAAATCATGATATAATGACCTGCAAAAGCTGGAACTGTGTGAGGTGGAAACATGTCAAAGAAAGAAAATTCAAATATTTTCCACTAAAATTAACAATGGAAAATGGCAAGACCATACGCTGTCAAAGGTACAATACTTGAGAGACCCAGAAAAAGAAGCCAATTCCACTGAGTTCCAGCTCTCACAAATTTCACTATACATTTAATCGTTCACCCATTTTATACATATATATATAGCTTATTTGCGATTTGTAAATCTTATAAATAATGCTGGAAAATGAAGTTTTGCTCCTCATAATTCCGAAGAATAGGGTCCCTGAATCAAAGTATATAAAAAGTTCAAATCTCTTGAATGTATATGACCATAGTGCTTTCCAACAATATTAAACCATTTCATGTGGCCTTTAGCCTATGGCTTTGTCAGTTCCCCTTTATGTCTCAGATGATTTTATTAATTTACCTAAGATATATTTATAGAGAATATATTTGATGATTGAAATCATACTAGGTGCTGGAACAAAATGTGTGTAAGATAAACACAGCACTGGATATTGTAGAGATTTTTAATTTTTGCCAGTTACAAAGCAACAAAATTTTACTTTTTACGATTGTTAAAAATTTGTGACAGAAATGAAATGTGATTATAATATTTATCTATTTATTGTTCATATTATCCATTTTAATTTTACATACTTTTTATGTTTTATCAATTTTTAATTAGTTTCATAAATATTGGAATTCTGTGTTTTATAAAGGTAAAAACATATTATTTAAAATTCTTCTTTGGTTTCCAGGTTAATTTTTCTCGGCAAAACTTATATCTCATAAGTTGAGCATATATTTTTTAATGTTGTGACAATAGATCTTAGCTACTTTAGGCTATTAAATCATAAAATCATAATATTAAATGTTTAATACTCAGATCTATTTCCTCCTTGATAATTGAACTAGTCAATCCACCTACAATAATGTATGAATCAGATCATTTTTTTTCTTCTTCATTTTATACCAATTAAATATTTTAGCACAACTCCTGAAATAGTTATATATAGTTATATAATTTTATTATTGTTTTAATAGCTCTACTGAATCACAAAAAGCATATAGCCATTTTATTTTCTAGTCTTCTACTTTCTATTCTTTTTTATTAGTCTGTATTTGTATGCTAATACTAGGTAAATAATAATGTATTTTTTCTTTGCTGCAGTACTTTGGGCACTAAAACCATTCTTTGATCTATAAACTATTTTTATGATCTTCTATTCTGATTCTCACAAATAAATTTTTAATCTCTTCATGTTTTCCCATAAATTTTGTTTATTTTAGAAATGATTCAATAGTTCAAAGCTTATAAATTAACCTGGGAAACGTTGTGCTCTTTAAAATTATAATGTTTATTTTCAGCAATAAATACTAGAATTGTGTTTTATGTGCAAAGTCAAATTTTGTTAATTTTCTTAATTAAAATAATTTATCTTTCTCAATAGCTTTACTGTGCAATTTTATATTTGTGTAATTAATATAACCCCGACTTATTTTCTATTCATGTTTAACATGCATTGCATTTACCTCACATTTTTGAACAGCATCTTAAAGTATGGGAATGCCTACATTGATATTACAGCCTTTTAAAACAGAAGACAAGATCTCACTTTCTGGATTTGCCTTATAGCTAGAATACAGACATCAAACCTGGGTTCTAAGATCAGAAGCTGAAGCCTGACACTGATTTAAGAAAAGAAATGTGAGAAAGCAGGCACTATGTGAAATCCATTTCCTCTGAGGTTGTTGGTTGAGGCCTTAAGCTCACATTCATGATCTATTGGTAAACATACCATTGCATTTTTTAAAAAGATATTTTAATTGTAATTAGGGGCAAAGTTTACAGAGCAAACTGGTTTTCCATCTAGAAATGCATACACATTCTGTTTTGTGACATTCACTGCACTCCCCACAATGCAACAGCATTTTTCCCACTTCCTCTTTGTGCCCACCACTTCCTTTCATTTCTCCTTCCCATCCCTTCCCACATTCCTAGCTCTATCCATGGACAAATATTGCCCTCTTGATCTCATATGGTTGATTGTTCTAATGAATGCACACAGTCCTTGTATCACAGTTTATGTTACACTTCTATATGTAGTTTGGCTGAAAGGTGAACCACAGGTATACAGTTCAGTTCCTGGCTTGAAAGGTGTCTAAGGGCCATATTCTCAGGGGTTTCCACTAGTTTCATCAGACTAGTAAGTCTGGTGTTTCTTTTATCTATTTGAGTTTTGTTCCTCATTTTTCTCCCACTCTGTCTGGAACCTACTCTTGTAATCCCTTCCAGAGATGTTAGCAGTCATAGACGAGATCCATCCTGTTCTTCTGGTCTCAGTGTCCTGGAGGCTGGGGTTCAAGCAGTACATTAGTAGTTTGAACTAATTGTTTCCTTGCATCTTTGATTTTCATTATTGTTCTTTGCTCTGGATGAAAGAGACCAATAGTTGCACCATAGCTAGACACTCACATATTTTTAAGACCTCAGTTTCCACTCACCAAATTAAGATATAGAACATTGTCTTTGTGGAGTATGTTATGCCAACTGACCTTAGTGTCCCTTGAGACTTTGGTCCTTAGCTCCCATTTACAGTAAATATGCCCCCATGATGTTTCATTATGACTAAGAAGTTTTCATAACTTTGTCCCCTGTATGCTCCACTACATACATGGATATATTTTCAGTACATAAAAATACACAGATAGAGATATCATCTGTCACAGTTATACATATTCGTGGGTGTAGTCCCATTTGCCTTTCCATCCCTATTCAACTTGAGTGTTTATCTATGTATTCACTCATAGATTATTGTTATGGCTGCTATTGCAGGATGACTTTGTATGGAATAATATTTACCTTTGTTGCCTCTAACTCTTGTGCTCCTCCCTGTATCTTCCACTGCCTTTACCTTTCTGTGCTGACTTCCCTGTTATTGTATGTTGCCTTTCCCTTCACCCAAGTTAATATGTGTCTGCCCTTTAGTTAGTGATTTATGCTCCCTTCCCATCCCAGCACTGGTAACCTTCAAAGAATGATTCTTTCTATGAGTAAATGTTTTCTTAACTTTTGACAATAGTGGTCTCATACAATATCTATCTTTTAGTGATTGACTTATTTCATTCAGAACAACGTTCTCTAGGTTCATTTGTGTTATGAGGTGTTTTCCAGATGCCTTGCTATTCCTTAACATTGCATAGTGTTCCATTGTGTGTATATACCATAACTTGTTTATCCATTTCTCCATTGATAGGCACTTAAGATGTGTCTATATTTTTACTATTGTGAACAGTGTTGTGATGAACATGGATGTGCACATATCTGTTAGTGTCCCAGCTCTTATTTCTCTCAGATATATACCTAGTAGTAAGATGGGATTGCTGGATCGTGTCATATTTCTGTTTCCAACTCCTTAAAGAAACACAATATTGCTTTCCACAATGGTTGTAGTATTTTACAGTTCAAAAGCAGTGTAGGAGGGTTCCATTTTCACCACAATCCTTCCAGCATTTGTTGTTTTCTGTTCTTTTGGACTTTACTGTTAATGCTGTGGTGACATATCTCATTGTTGTTTTTATTTTCATCCCTCAATTGCTAATGATCATGAGCTTTACTTCAGCTGTTTGTTCGCCACCTGAAGGTTTGACTGTCCATGTATATCTTCTGCCCAT